AGACATTGGAGGGATGTGGCAATTCTGGGGGATCTATTACACATCAAGGGGTGCTGGGAAGTGACTTCCCAGGTGATTCGCCATGTCCCAATTAAAGGAACAGCTAAACTATTTGGGGCTTCCCTGAAGGCAGGGTGACTCCCACAGTGTAGTCATTCTAATTTGTATTGAGATAAGGAGTTATAGTCTTAGCTTGCAGGGCTGATGATACTCAGAAGAAACATGTGTATCTGCTCAGTGGCTCCCAGGCTACTTGTCGTGTGGCAGTCATCATGGTGCCAGCAGAGACACTGGACTTTCTCAGTGGCCAGGCAGGCTGCCTCTGAAGGGTTCCTCTCCACTGGAGGGAAGGCCAGGGAAGCAGACAGGCATAGCACCAAAGATCTGAGGAGTAGTGTGGTCACTCACTGCCTGTATGACCCTGGCAAGTCACCTAACCTCTCTGGTCTCAGTTTCTTTGGCTGTAAAACAAGACGGTAATCCTGTGGTTGTAGAATGCCATTTGTCCCTCTTCCCCATGTCCCCAAATAAAGCTAGCATTAAACTAAATATGATAAGAAACCACTCTTTCTAGGCTTATTCTGTAAGCGCCAGACATCTGTAAGGCCAGATTGTATGGTCATCCATTTATTTACACTGAGAAGCATGAAGAAAAAACAGAAAAAACACCCCCAGAATTTGGTTCTCAAAAACTGAGAAGTAGAAATCATTACCTTCAGCTCCTTCGTCTCTTGTTTCTCCCTAAACAGTGAGAGCAAGTGAGTATCATCTCACAGGCCAACTCTGATTGTTCTGGAGTGGCTGTGTTATGTCTAGGCTCAAAAACAAAAGTAGTATCATGATTGATTAATAATGTCTGCCATGAATACACAGTATGAAAGGGGTTATGTATTTTAACGTAGTCATGTATCTTAGTTTGGGAAGAGAAAGAAAGGCAAAGCATTTTCAGCAGGATACCAGAAGAATTGGAAATGAAACCTAAAGCATTCATGCCACTGGGTGCAATGGCCACACTTGTAATCACAGCATTCAAGAGGCTGGGGCCGGATGGGGTACATAGCAAAACCCTGTCTCAGGAAAAAAAAAAAAAAAAGCATTCAGCAAATATTTTACCTCACCAAGTGCTAGGCACTGAAATAACTCCAAGTCACAGAGTGTGATACGCTCTGTGAGTCTAAGGGTAACATGACTGCTAATTCCTTAAGGATATGTGGAACCCAGCCAGGTAAAAGGAAGATGGGGGGCTGGAAAGTGGAGTGGGGTACCAAGGAGAAGGATTGACTGGGGGAACTCTGGAGGCGATGGCAGCTGCATGTCATCCAGAAAGGCTATAGCACAGATTTCAAGATAGGGCAACTGGGAGACCCCGAGGCTTCCAGGGAGGGAGTGGCAAAGACTAAATGACATCTCAATCTCCCTGTCTCTACCCTCCAATTATTAGTGCTCCAGAACAGCTGCATAAATGACCTAAAAATGTGAAAGCAATCCTCACAGAAGTCAGTCTTGCAAACTGATCAGTCAGGTAAGATCCGATTACTGGGTCAAGGTAAAGAAAGAAGATGGTAAGACTGGCCTCTAAGTGAATGTAGTAAAACCTGTACAACTTAGAGATTCGGGCTAGAGATAGGAGGAAAGGCAAGCCCAAGAGGAGGATGCTCCAAACCAGACAAGCAGGAGGCTGACTCGCAGCCCACACCCACAGAAGCACAAAGAGCAGCATTCACTAAGCCTAACCAACTCTGTTACAAACCACACCTTGCAGAGGTTTAAAAAGTGTGGCTGTTCTCACAGGTTAAAAGCCGTCATGCCCATGGATCCAGCAATTTTGCTTCTAAAAATGAAGTTCCAAAGAACTGTGCAAAGAAATATAACTAAAGATATTTGCTGTAGCATTGTTTACTAGAGTGTAAAATAAGAAGCAATGTGTATTCCTACAGTAGGGAATTGGTTAAATAAATTGTGGCCATTCAAACTATGGAATCCCAAGCAGCTATGAAAAATGATGACTGACATGGAAAAACAGGCATCCTATATTGTTAGATGGAAAAAAGTAGCTTATACGTTCTTTTTGAGAGATATACAAATGAGACTAGAGGGGAAATATTCTCAAATGCCAGCAGAGAGTCAAAAAGCCTCACTGCAAAAGGCTGTGGGAAGATTAAATGAACTCATCTACATGCAGTACTGGGTACAGAGTAAGTGCTCAATAAATGACAGGCATCACTTGTTTTTGCTTAATTTTCCTTCAACGACTAGATCTTCCTTACAGAATTAAATATGTCTTTTTAAAAACATAGCTTTCCATTCTTTGCCACATATATAAAGGGCAGTAGTTCTTAACAGGGATGATTTTGCCTCCCTGGAAATATTTTCGGTTGTCACTGCTTTGAAGACGAGTGCTAGTGGCATCTTGTAAGGTAGAGACCAAGGGTGCTGTTCAACATCTTACAATGCACGGGACCGCTGTCTACCACCCCAAATGCTGGCAGTGCCACAGTGGACAAACCCTGACTGAGAAAATGGTCACTGCAATGCCTCTCAGACTCCTTGCAGCCATCACCCCAGGCCAGCTGCATTAGAGAGTCACACTCACCACCCAGATCATCCAGGTGGCCAGATGCCCCCAAGATCTAGACAAAGTCCCTGCCTTATCACTGACGATGAATCTCAAAAGCTAGAGCAGAACAATCCTCCCCATCTGGAGTCCCAAGTTCCCTGGAGAAAGATCCCCCCAGAAGAAGAGATTACTCACAGTGCTTAGCACTCCCCCCACCGCCGCCCCAGCCGCCCAGTGCTAAGAAGTATTCTCTGTGATGAACAGTAAATGTCTCTAGTTGGCAGACAGTGTGCCTTGTGCTGGTCAACCCTTTGTGGGCCAACCCTACTGGGGCTTCTGTCTAAATGGAGATTTTGTCCAAAGCTGTGGCACCCTACAGCAAGGATGGTGGCAAAGACAAATGTCCTTTGAGACCAGGGAAAGGGAGGCAGAGATGCTTCTCTGTCCCTGCTCCAGCTGTCATTTCCCCCTTTCCTGTCAAACCAGCCTGATCACCACACATAGAAGGTGCCCCAAACACAGAACGGACAAGCAACCCTAGAAAGGCTCAGGGAAGAAAAGCCACAGAGCTTAACCTGGGTTTCCTACTGCTGACACTTGGGCTGGAACTGAGGTGGGGGCTGTCCTGTGTGCTGAGAGGGGTTTAGCAGCACACTGTTGCATCCCCTGAGTTATAACAAACCGAAATGTCTCCAGACGTAAGAAGCACTGGCTTAACCAGACTCTGAATTCCTAAAGGCAAGTTGGCTCTGATTTACAACTATTCACAGAACCAAAGAGGAAATAAAAAACAAAATACAAATACAATACTGTTATAAAAATAAGCAACCCCTCAATGCTAAAGCCATTAGTTCCCAAGCCCCTGACTGGAAATGCAGTATTATACCAAGCTGAGAGTCTGATAATAAGCTTGTTGTACAGATGGCAGCAGAGGCTGAACACCTACTATGTGCCAGGGGACCTGGGGACCTGGCAGTGAATAGGAAAAATGGAGACCATGCTCTCTCTCAGGTTGCTGCCCCAGATCCAAGACTCATACAAACCAGGCAAGTACACTTATCCAGCACTGATTAATCATCTACTATGGGAAAGAATCAAAACTGGACCTGGGAACTTACAGACACATAACCACTCCCCCACAGCTAACATCCATCTGACATTTAGGGCCTCAGTGCTTCATGCACACACCCTCATTGATTCATCACAGCTGTCCTAGGAGATCAGCAGTCCCATTTCACGGATGGTGACACTGAGGCTCAAGAGGTAGAGTAGGAAGACTAGGACAGGACTCCTCACAATCACACACCCCTGTGGAAACTACTACCTCCAAGGAGCTGTGATCACCCACCAAGGACCCAGTGAGTGACTGCCTGGGTGCCAGATCTCGTCACTCCAAGTCAGTCTTAAGGTCCTTTGTGGGTTTCAGCTGGACTCTGCCCTGGGGGCTGGTGTCTTCCTGCAATGCCACCAAGTGAAACAGCAGGGCAGGGCGCTGGGAGAGTCTCCATGGAACAGAAGAAAGCAAGGCTCAGGTTGCACCCTTTATGGACTGGAAGGCAAAGGGCAGGGGAAGATGGCATTGGCTTCTATTCCCATTTTCCATCCAGGGCTTGGGATGGGGGAGGGGAGGAGAGGAGAGAGGGGCTACACTGGCTTAAGGATCACCTTCCCAATGCTCCCAAGACCTCTTTCAAAATGACATATGGGGAAGGGTCTTCCTCTTTTAGAAACCAGAGGGAGGGATTTGTCCTAAAGCACCCAAGTGTGACATTCACACCCTCCCTTCCCCCTCCTCACTCCCGTCCTAAGTGGAAGGAACACTTTCAGTGACTTCCCCTAGAAGAGGGGCCTCAATTTTGCAATTCCATCTTCAAAGTCCCCCTTCCTGCTCCACCCCACCCTGGGAAGTGCTGGTGGGGTCTTTGATCTGGAATGAGGGAATTCGGAGGGAAGTGTTCATGTCCCACGAGGGAGAGGCTGGAAGAGCAAAGCGAAGTTTACTCATTTTAAAGGGAGGGAATCAATCGATAGTCATTCTGAAAGAAAGAACCATGGGGCGAGGGATGAAGGCCTTTGGGGGAGGGAGTTTGGGGGGAGATGGATCTGAGCGTTGCTGGGACTGATGCAAGAGTTAGGGCTGTCTGAGGAAGATGAGCTATTGGGAGGCAGGAGGGAGTGAAGGACGGGAGTAATCTGAAGGACAGGAGGGATGGGGTGTCTAGGAAGATGGAGGACTTGGAGATGACTGAGAAGAGATGGGGGATGTGACATGTTTAGTGAGAGAGGATTTGGGGGTACTTGGAAGGAAGGGGGTCTGGGAAGCAGGAAATAGCACTCGAAGTGTCTGAGGAAGAGACAATTTGGGAATGCTGGGGATTCAGGTGCGTCTGGGAGCGCTCAGGGGCAGGGCTACGGGCCTGCTCCCATCTTCACCCCGGCTCACCAAAGAAGGGCGGCAGGTGGGACACCGCCTCCAGGAAGGGCCCGGTCTCGATCTGCTTATCCGCGGGCAGCGGCTTCAGGAGGTGCTCGGCCAGCAGAGCCATTTCGGGGTCGAGGCCCGCGGTGATGCCCCAGCCGGCGCCGCGGGCATCCACACCGCCCCCCGGGCCGCTGCCGTCAGCGCCGGGGCGGTCACTGCCGCTGGCCGCAAGTTCCCGGGACGCCAGCGTCGCCACTTCCGCCCGCGCCGAGCCCCAGTAGCTGAGCGCTCAGCGCCGCCCGCCGGCGGAGCGCCTAAGCGGCTCGGGGCCCTGCTCCGCCCTCCCGCGCACGGCCAATCCGCGCCTGCCGCCGCACCAGCCTAGCCAATCCGCGCCCGCCCCGGGGGCCTCCGCGCCTCCATTGGCCGGGAGGCGGTGCGGCGCGGGAGCGCGCGACTCGTGGATCCGGGTCCGCCCAGGTGAGCTGCTCGCAGGTGGACCTTCCCAGGTTTGCTTTCTGCTGCCCGCCCCCGGCTTGCACCCCAACACGGGAGTGAGAGGGGAGCTGGCTAAGGCCAGGTCCTCATTCCCAGGCCACCCACCATCCAGGCTCCAGACCAACCCACCCAAACAGCCTATCCTCCAACAGCCCCTGGTGACCTTGTGACACTGCTCGGGATGTGACCCTCCTGAGTACAAGGACGCCCGATTACTTGATTTTTCACCTTCTGTCCGTGCCCTTATACCTGTGCCCACCTCCGCCACTGCCCAATTAAGCACCTCTTTCCCAAAATCTGGGGTCCAGTCTGACTCGGCAGTCTCATGTTACCTGTTGGACCCAGCCCCGTTTAAAACCCAAGTCAAACAACCACCTGACTGGGGGAGTGTTTCCCACACATCACCCCAACAACCCAGGGACATACTTCTCACAACTGGGTCCCCAGTCATCTCAATCACAACCCACCTAGATGCTTATGTCCTAAAATCCAACGCTCAGCTTATCCAAAAATCCAGCACACCCTTGTTGAGAGCCTCTTACTCATTCCGGAATAACAATTCATTTCGCCGCCACCACGTGCCATGCACTGTGCTAGGCATCAAGAATAAAGTGACAATAGCAAAATCCCTGCCCTCCTGGAGCTGACATTGTAGCTGGGAACACAACACAATACAACATTGCAAATAAACAAGGTACTGATGAGATGAGTGAAGAAAATAAGAGCTGAATGGCAGAGGGTGACTCAAAGCTATTGGTTGAGATAGGATGTAGGGGGTTGAGGCAGCACCTTTAAAGAGGTGACATTTCAGCTGAGACTGCTCAAATGAGAAGTAGGAAAGAGCTAAGCCAAAGACTTGGGGTGGGAGGCAAAAGCCTTGAAGTAGGAAGTGGAATCAGAGTCTGGGCAGGGGTAGGAGTTGACTAAGCAAGAGCCAGAGAGGAGGGAATTATGGGAGTGGAGGACGGGTGGGGGAGCATGTTATGATAAGGGCAATGAGAAATTACAGTGCCAGAAAGATACCTGTCGAGCCCCATTAAATTATTTTGATTTAACTTTCAGGGGGTAGATGAGAGAAAAGGTTGATCCAAAAGGAGGGCATGACCCTGGTAGAATCAGGAAGTGACAGGGACTGGGAGAGACAAAACCATCATCATCTCTTCTACATAACCCAGACCATGACATGCCCCATCAAGCCAGATCTCCCATTGATAGGAGCCCAAGCCACTAACTTTGGTATGTTCTCACCCCACCCAACCTCACCACCTTGGGCATCCTATCATACCATTGCCTCAATCCTCACCGGCCTGCTCAGCACCCCAACTCAATGCCAGAACCCCACCCACTTTTCAGATGCCTCCATCAGTTCCACAAAGAGATCACAGCCCACATGGGAACCTCTGACATCAAATGACATCCTTATTTCTCAACTTGCTCCATCCCAGCCAAGCCATTCAGAAACCATGGCTGATACAAGAAGCATCTTATTTAGAGAACATGGGTCTTTGCTCTGGCTTTGTGGTGTGTCTTGAAAGTTCATCCACCCATCATCCATCCTTCCATCCATCCACCCATCCATCCATCCAACCTGCTCTAGAGTAGCCTCTCATCTCCCCATAGTTTATGAGAAGTATTGAGCTAGGGATGAGACTGTAGCATAAATGGATGTGTGGGCTGGCTGTGACATGCTAAGGAGTGGGGGCTTTGGAGAAATGTGAATCACACCACCCATCTGAAGGGCATCATTAGGCCATTTACCCAACCTGCCATTACCCTGGGTTGTTAGTTTTTCAGATTCCTCAATAGAATTCTGAAATTCAGATTTGTAGGGTTTTTTAATGTTGGGAATTAAATATTTTAAACAATATGGTCTTCCTTCCATCCTTCCTTTTTTTTTTT